ACTCTTTTACATACCTGATTTATTGATAAAAGGATTCAAAATTAATTAGAATTAATCTGAGATTAAATGTATGCTATCTTGTCTTTGAACATTTATGTTTATGAAAAAATGATTTAATTGTAGCATTTGGTCAACAGGCATTCACTGAACATGTCCTATTTTACTAGGTTTGTGTTAGACTTCCACAAGAAGCTAAAAAGAATTGTCCCCGAAATCTTACTCATAATTAAATACCTTATATGGTAATTACCAAAGGAGTAATTTGGACAAAAGTTACTTTGGGGAAATGGGAACAATAAATGCCTAGAAGTTAAGTTTAAAAAGTAAAAAATGGAGAAAGTTGCAAGATTTAGGGTGAGATTTTGGAAGAAATTAGAAAGGAAAGAAGGAGCCAAAGGAGAGTGGAATGGAGCAAGTCTGTGGAGGAAAAGAGACTTTCCAACCAAATGCTGATCTAAAAGAGTTGCAGGATGAACAAGAAAGTGTTTCCCAACCATAAAAGAGAAAAATCACCATAAAATACTGCTGAGCCAATAACAGGATCTAGCACAAGAAAAACAAGTACCTTTTATGGAAAGATGCAGACAGGGACTTATATTAGCAGCACATAAACTCCACAAAAGCACTGCTCTGTGCTCTCCCGGAACATATAATTTAGGCCTTGTGTGCAAGTGTGCAGGTAGTAGTTTGAGGGGAGGAGGAGCTTCCCAGAGGTAAGGAAGGTGGCCTGAAAGCAGAGGGCCCACTTTGGTGGTCCCAGTGCCAGAGGTCACACTGTCTGGCAGGGAAGAGCCAGCTCACAGGCCCTCCCTGGACTTGCAGCTCGCAGTGCAGCTGTGTTAAAGAATGTGTGCAGTGCCTCTTGCACTCTGGAAAGAGAGACTAATGTCCTTGCTTTACTTACGGGTCCTGAACCCTTCATTGTTCACAGAACGACTCCAGATCCAGGAATACAACAGGTTTGCAGGTAGACTCTCATTTAAGTAAAATAACTCAGCATACGTGGAAAAATGAACACCAAAAACAATTTGAAGACTTAATTTAAAAGAGAAGACAAACAGAGGTTAACGTAGGAGCTAGCAGACGTGGAAAGAGCCTACTAAGTGGGAACAGAGCAAGGAGAGAGGAAGGGAAGGGAAGAAGGCAGGAAATGCAGGCTGTAGAGAGACTTAAATCTCTCTGCTCCATGGTCTTGTGTTGGCAGCTATTCCTAATCCCCTACTCTCTGACAAAGCATTTCACATAAATCTGGGGTCCAGCTGAGGTTCGGGGTTGTCAAGCTAGTGCAGCCTTGAGGTCTTATCCTCTCTGCATCTCTGCTGGGGTGGTTCCCCACCCAGATTCCTATCTTGTCAAACTTGTTTCCAGTCACCCAAGCCCTCTAGTCAGTGACCTCTTAGTCCAAGTCTGTTACCCAGGACACAAATAGATTGAGGGTGTCAGATAACATGGTAGTTTGGTGGGGAAGAAGACAATCTGAGGGCTTGCCATACCCTTTATAATACTGGTCTCCCAACCACCCACACCTTTAAAAGTAAATATCCTTTCCTCACTATGTTGCTCTGTGTCTAAGTCACTGAAGGGCAACTGAGTGTGTGATTCATGCTTCTTTTTATTTATTTGCTTTGATGTGCTCATTGTCTCTCGGGAGCCAATTGGTGGAACCTCTGAGTCAATCCTGTTTTTCTTGGGGGAGCGGAGTAAGACAGTTAGGTAATGACAAAGGTGGGCTATAATTGCTCTATGGGAATGGCACAGAACATTGTGTGCAGTTAGGTCAGAGCAGTAACATCTCATGAAGTGACAAACACTCTGTAACCACATCTTAAATTCAGATCGTATTCTTTACAGACTGAGTGGTAGGTCCAATTAATACCCACACATGCTGCTCAATGCAGGCTTGACGTTTTCAAGTCTCTGAAAGCCCGGGTTCCCCTTGCACCCTTCCCAGAAATTCTCAGAAGCAGTGGTCTTTGAAAAGGCTCAGATGAAGCAGTGCAGAGATAAACCTCACACACCCACCCTGCAGCTCTTTTGCACGCCCTGAACTGCAGAGATCCAAGCGAATGTTTCAGCAAAACTCGTGCAGCTTCAGTGAACAGGTTGGAGGTGGGGTCCAAATTTGGAAAAAGGATGCCGCCTGCAGAAGATTTCTTTTACGAAAGGTTATTATAGATCAGAAATACATTTAAAATAAACAAATATTTTGCAAGGGAAATATACCAATTTTCTCCAAAGGTACAAGAACTTTCTGCAGTGTGTAGGCAATGCCAGAGGGCTCCACGCAGCAGCCCACCTTTGTCTTGCTTCCACCCCCCTTATCTTTTTTTATTTTTTAAGTAGGGGAGGGGAATGGAGTATTAGGCAGGAGATAGAGAAACAGAATCACCTTCCCTTTCAGGAATCTGCTGAGTGCCTGAGTCCTGAACGTTTCCGGGTGATGGCACAAGCATGCAGAAGGTGCAACCCTGAGCCTGCCTTCCCCTCAGTTAGCACTTAGTAAATTCTGGGTGTTTGATGGGCACGTGAGCCTCGCACAGAAGTCAGTGCACAAGTCACGCTGTTACTTTCGATTATTTATGCTGAAGAAGCAACTAGGTCTGTCAGAAACAAGCTGGGCCCAGAGAAGCCGGGGCAGGCTGGGCTGGTGTCCCACCAGCCCCGATTTCCTCCTGCACCCCTTGTTTGTCCCGGGCCTGGGTCCCAGTTACTGCTGCCCCTGCTCACCCGCCCAGCGGGGCAGCATGACCCCGCCCGCGCAGCCAGGTTTGGCAGCAGCCACGCGTCCTCCTCTGGGGACAGCGGGTCCTGGGCTGCAGCTGCCCCCACTGACCCTCATAAGAGACATAGCTCTGCAGGCCTTCCCGGAGTGAAGAAGGCCCTTCCTGGGGCCGGTGGCCCTTACTCCAGGCCGGGAGTAAGGTTGGCTCAGCAGCCCCATCTCTCCAGCCCCCACCGGTCCCCAGAGAAGGGGTCCGCGGGCAGCGGCGGCCGCCCAACTGTGGCACTGGGCCAGCAGCAGAGACGCAGCCTGGCTATAGGTCGTTTCTCCCAGGATCAGATAGATGATTCATTTTATATGTAACGTTTTACCTTAGTCTATAGCTCGGGCCGGTTAATGTTCAACGCCCTGCCTGGGGAGGCCTGGAGCAGCAGGCGGTGACCTTCAGGTCCTGAGGGGAGACTGGGTGAGAAGAGGGGTCTTCGGGGAGGCTCCCTACAGTGCGGATCCCGGGCCCCGCAAGGGAGACGCCTTTGCCTCTGAGGGCCGCCAGGCCAGCGCGCGACTCCGGGCGCAGCTCCAGGCTTTGCCCAGGCTGGGCCCAACACCACGGGGCGCCACGCGGACCGGATCGGGAGGCGGGGACGCAGGCTTATCCCCCAGGGTCTCCAGGCTCGTCCCTCGCTGTCCGCAGGCTTGTTCCCCAGGGACCCCAGGCGCTCTCAGCAGCCGGATCCAGAGGGCTTCGAACACGGGGCTGGAGGCCGGACGCGGGTGGGTGGCGGGGCAGCGGTAGCTGCCGATCAGAGTGGGGTTTGGGGACTTGGAGGGTTCTGCAAACCCAGGTGGGGGCCAGGACCCAAGGGGGTGTCCCTGGAAGGGCGTGGGTGGCCCTCTCCGAGCTCCAGCCTCTCCCATTGCCTCTGAACAGTCAGGCTCCAGAGGTCCCCTCCCCCACAGGACAGCCCAGAAGTGACCCCAGATGAGGCAGGGCTCTGACCAGGGACAGGCATAGGATGAGGCTGTCCTCAGCCAGGCTGGCCCAGGCGAGCGCTTCCCTTGGTCATGCCGAGAGCTGGCTGCTTGGCCCACGAGGAGCCCTCGGTCCAGAAGCCCTGGTCCTGCGCGCAGGGCTGTAGGTCTGGGCGCGGGTGCGTGATCGGTGAGGTCGCAACCCAGAGCTGCCTGTGCATGGTAGGAGACATGGGAGGGGTGGACAGGGATAAACAAGACACCAACACCGGGCAGGCTCCCCAGACTCTGGAGGTGCAGAGGTCCTGATGGTCCTGCATCCAATCCACATGGCCTGGGCACTGAGCCCGAGAGGGAGGGTTTTATTGCACTTTCTTTTGTTTGTCAGTATTTTATTTTGAAAGTGCTCCGTGGTCTGGCCAAAGCCTCACCTTAGTTCCCCGGGGGGTGGCCTGCAGGGTCCCCACCTCAGTCTGCAGTCTCTGTTCCCTCCCAGACCCACAGTGGAGCAGAGTGAGGGTCCCATGAAGGACAGAAAGATGCCACCAAGCCCTGGTGTTCAGCAACCCCACCATGACACCTGCCCGAACAGATGGAGCGTTGACAAGGACAGAGTGAGAGGAGGCACCCAAGAACTGGGCTGCTGCTAGTGTAGGGTCCCAGTCACCTTCCCGTGGCTTTCTCAGGGACCAGCAGGAGGATTCTGGGTCTTATCTTCCCAAAGCCAGGAGGAAAATGTTTCCTACCCAGAACCATGTGCGGCAAGCGCTGGCCGGGACAGGAAGGCTTTGCTACTTTGGAGGGAGAGAGCTTGGTATAGTGAACCTGGGAAATCACCCCAAATCTTAGTCTTGGTACAACAGGTCCCAGCTTCACAGGCCATTTTCTAAGTTGCTAGACTTAGGTGGGAGGGCAAAACAAAACAATGCAAAACGTTTTTGTGGACAAAGAAAAGAGGAAAGGGAGAGAGTAGGGGAGAAAGAGACAGGGAGGACAACCACACCTTAAACTTGTTTACTAGAAGACAACTAGGTCTGGCCTGACAGCTTGCAATTCTCCTAGTCCTCCTGAAACAAAGGGAGATCGATGCAACTCTCCTGCCTTCCCACCCACGAGTAAACCCACTTTCTCAGTAATCATTGAATGTCTACAAAGTATTTCTTAAAACTTCAAGTGAGTTTAGATGGTTCTTTTAGCAACTCTTCTGCTGAGCAACTGCAGCTTCCAGCAGCTCCTGTGTTCCACAGCTGCCACTGAACTGTTTCAAAAGGAGCAGCAATGAGTTTAAAAGGTAATTAAGCTGGAATTAAATACATCTTTAATGGACTATTTTATTTCTTGCAAGACTGTGCTAATCTTCCAACAAAATATAAAAATCAACATTCACATAAAATGCATAAGTACTCAGCACAGAAATGAAGTTATGCATCCCAAACACAAGAAATTCTTCTTATTCTTATCCTTCTTTTTTTTGTTGTTCTTTTCAGATAGAAACTCAACAACACAGAGATCTGCCCTGGGGAAGAGAGAAGAGCGAGTGATAGATAAACTCTCAGATTAGAGTAAAATTTCCCCAGATTCATCTGTTAAAACCTGTACAATAATATTTATATTTAACTCATTGTTTAAAAAAGAAAACTCTTCAGGTACTGTTTTCTCAAATTCAGTTAAAATGCAATTGTTGGGAAGGTGGGTACAGGAAGGGTATTTTCTTTAACTTTCCTCAGAAAATCTGCTACCAGAAATTTTTTTCCCTTTTTGTGGGCGACATCTGCTCCCTTAGGCACGTTTCTCGATGCTTGGTGTGCTTACAAGAACAGCGCCTTGCCAGGGGGTTTATAAATCAATCAATAGGGAGTCTATATTCATAAAAGCCTCTGATCTCATTACACCTACTCCTGGTTCCCTCCTCCAAAAAGTTGAATCTGTGGGCCAGGAATTCCAAGCGTGGCCCTGCCGGCAAGGAGCCCTGCGACAGCGGCGACAGCGGCGGGGTTGTCCATGGATTAGGATGTGGATTGCAGGACAGACCTTTGTTCAGTCGCCTTCACCGCGCCAGGGAATGGGGGCAGGGTTGTCTTCTTTTGGGATCACCCTGAATTTTTACAGACTCGCCTTAAAAGGACTGCCGCTCTCCACAGCATTCATTTATGAGGCTCTTCAGAAATATTAGGACTTTTAAGACACTTTTTCCCCCATTAATTTTTTTTTTTTTTTTTGCTATGCTCTTAAAAGGATCCCCAGGCTTCAGCATCTCATCGGATGAGGATGGGGGTGCGAGAAAGCAGGTCCGAGACAAGAAAATTCTCTTTCTAATCACAGGATCCGGGTTTTCCAGTATATTTCTAAAAATTAAATTTATCATCAACATTAAAGCTTAGGAACTGGCAGGAAATTGAGACAAGCCTTGTGCTGTACACAGCTTTCCGTAGGTCTCACCAATCTGAGTTCTGTGTCAGGAGAATAAAGAATTGGGGCCTTGGGAATTTTAAAAGTTGTTTTAAAAATAAAAATGAAAAATAACCTAGAGAGGGAAAGGCAGGGGTAACAGGTGGGGAACAGGGAAGGGAGACAGCCTTTATCCCGAAGGGGTGCGGGCCTCGGGTCCAGGCTGGGTCACCTCTGGGTACAGGGAGATGGGCAGCCGAGCTGTTCCGTTACCTCCAGCTGCCACTGTGACCCCATCTTGGAGAGGCTGGGCTTCATGCTATAGATTACATTAAAGGTTCCTTTAAGCACTTTAATACACAACTAGCTCAGAAATCATTAAGAGACCTACAGAAGGAGAAAAAAATACCCTCACACTCACCAGGAATAAGTGTTGACGCGCAGCAAAAATCGATTGAGGTGGTGCAAGTAGCAAAGGCCCAGGGGCCGGCGTGGGAGCGGGAGGGGTGAGGGACTCTGGGGACCCCGAGAGCTCTTTCACCGCAGGGGTGGGAGGAAGGAGGTGCAGCCGGGACGGGAGGGCCTGCGGCAAGCGGCCCGAAGAAGGTGCAAATCTTCCTCCTGGAAGCCCAGGAAAGAGCGGAGGTGTTGGAGAAAGGGCCTCTGTGGGTCCCAAGTCTCCGCCCCCAGCCTGCGCCATCGCAGTGGGGCAGTGACAACTCCCCAGACCTCCCTTCCCTTTCCCGCAGATGGATGGGCTTTCCGTGCGGGTTCTCCCGGAGTCACCAGCCCAGGCCGAGGCGCGCTCCTCCCCCAGCCCCCGGGGCCCCACCGGTCCTCTGGGCCCCCAGCAGGTCCCTAAATCCTGCTCCGTGCGCCCTCCCGCCCTGCCCCTATCCAGAGGAGGCGCGGGGCCACGACGTGTGGGCCCGGGTCCCGGAGCCAAAGTCCGCCTGTGGGGACCGCTTTCCTCTCCACTGCGTCCAAGTGAACAACAGGACGAGGCGGCCCTCGTCCAAAGGGCTTCGATCTGCCCCCTCCGGCCGCATGACTCCGCCGCAGGTCGGAGGCAGAGCTTCAAAAAGAGAAAAAGAAAGAAAGTTAATGTGGCTGGGCCCGCTCTCCCTTCGGGACGTTATCTGCAGCCGCCTGGAGTGGCGGCCCCTTCCTCGCAGAACAAAGACTCAGTGTCTGGGCTCCAAAGCCTCTAGGTAGAGTTTCAGTCAGATAAAAGCAACCTAAGCGCAAAAACACAGGTTTTCTCGGCTCCAGAGAAGCAGCGGCTCCTGGCCGCTCCCCTCTCGGATGTGGTGCTGGTACTCAGGCCCTGCGGTGGGGGAGGAGGTGACAAAGATAACAAAAGACCTGGGCACTCCCCCGCCCCCAGACCCTCCTAGCCATGGTGATGGATTCCTTGCAAATAAGTCCTATTTGCTACGATTTGTTATAGGGGAAAAAAAGTAAAAAGCCTCGTTGAAGGAGGAGCGGTGCTCAAAGTTCTTTTAAACACTCTCTGCCGACCTGCTTCCCCAGTTTAGAAGTCAGGGGATAGGAGGTGGGGGCCGGGGCTGTAATTCATCTTGATTTGCTTCATTGTCCTGCAGTTTGCAAACTATAATCCTGTATAATTTCAGGAACAAGCAGGTTTGGAATTAATGGGTCAATATTATTTAAAACAAAACACAGGGAGCGTGACCTTTGCCTCAACTACATATTGCTCGACAAGACTCAGGAAACTCCGTTCTAACCTCTCAAGCCCCGGCTCTTTGAGAAACTGAAGGGCTGTGGTTATTAGAAATGGTCTTTGTTTCTTTTAATGTCTCCAAAGGATTTGGAAATAGTAATGCAATATAACATGAAGAATCTCTCTACTTAACCCTGAAAGATAAACGCGGAGGCCTAAATATTTTGAAATGGAGGTGTTTCCTTGGAAATTTATTATAGATGTATTCTTCCTGAGAGGAATGTATATAAACTCTGCATGTACACATGCAACATATTTCTCCAGAACAATTTAATGGAGCTGCGGTTTCCCCCCTGAAGGAGTAAACTTGAGAGCCACTTCATGCTGGCATACTTGGAAATTTCTTTCACCTTCCTTCTTAGATTCTTTGCTAGCCATAATGGAATTTTCTGGGTTTAACCCAAAGCAAAATCTGAGCAGCAAGACCAGACTTTGCTAGCTTTGTTTTTCCTTCTTCTATGAGTGCCCTCTCCTTTTAGTTTCTGATGAATGGCTATAATTTATTTCTACCAAATTTAAATAAGTACTGCGCCCTGTATGTTTAATGAGGAAGGCAGAGGAAGCTGGTTTGTTTAGGAGGCAGCGACTGAGAACACCCTGGCCAGGTGACAGAGGAGGGGAGAAAGAATCCAGACCAATGTGTATGCAGTATATTTTACTCCCATGAAATAAAACACATTTTTTTCATATCTGCTGAAAAGTAAAACAATAATATTGTACGAAATGTTATACACAGGGTAGGTTGTACAGAGCAGTTTCAGAAACATCATTGCATCCACCAGAGAAACTATTCTAAAACTGATATTCACACATTTTTATAATAATAATATGTTAGAAACATACAGTGTGGCATTTAGTATATACATTCCCTTGCTTGCAAGCGAAAACTTCTAATCGCTTCTGTATAACATGCTTTATTTTAAAGCCTAACCTTTAAAAACACTGTTGTGATATTACTAACAACTGCTTTTATAAAATTAATTTGACATTTCGATATATATACATCCTTTCAGTAATTTTAACGTTAACAATGCTAAACTTAAAAAATAACAAGCTTATAGTAATGTTAAAATGTCATATCCAGTCAAACATTTGTGTGTCCCTGTCCTTGCAACTGCTGGAAATACTCTTCGTGAAAAGTGTCAGACAGCGAGGACATTCCTTTGAAATCAAAGGAGCTCTCTTGAATTCAGTGGTTTCCTTTTCTCCCTATATCTTCCTTTCTTTAGTGCCCACGACCTTCTAGCGCAATTCCCAGTCTTTCCAGAGAGGGTGGCCCCTCCGGGCAGCCGGCAGTCCCAGGACCCCGGCTGCGCAGCTCACACGGGCCGGTCCACCGCGTACTGGCAAGCGCTCAGGTTGGACGCGGGATTTTGCACGCTGGCATAGCCGAAGCTGGAGTGCTGCTTCGCTTTCAGTCTCAGGCTGGCCAGGCTCGAGTTACACGTGTCCCTATAAACGTACGGGGGTGTCGGCGGCGCGTAAGGACAGGCGGGCGTCGGCACCGCGGAATTCAGCGACGGGCTGCTCAGGTTGTTCAAGTTATTCAGGCTATTGAGGCTGGAGCCCGGGACGCCCGTCACTGCCGAGGGCACCATGCTGGACGACATGCTCATGGATGAGATGGAGTTGGGTGGGGAGAACATGCTCTGCGAGGACAGGGGGTTGACGTTCATGGAGTTGAAGAAGGGGAAGCTTTTGGTGGACAGCGAGGCTGAGGTGAGGCCCTTGGCGGCCCAGTTGTTGTAGGAATAGCCTGGGTACATGTCGTCGTAGGGCTGCATCAGCCCGTTGAATTGCGGCCCGAAGCCGTTCTTGCATAGCTCGGCCTGCTGGTTGCGCTCCCGCTTTCTCCATTTGGCCCGGCGATTCTTGAACCAAACCTGGGGACGGGCGGGAAGGGGGTGGGCAAACAGAGGCCACAGCTCAGATTAGTAAACACTTGGTCATGGAAAACACCAGGAGGCCGCCTCCACGACACACGCTCTTGGGAGGGCCCGCGCACCTCACCACCCCACCCGGCGTCTAGCAGCCGGCACCTGCCCACACCTCACTCGCGGCAGGACTGGGTTACCCACCCCGACCTCAGTCAAGGGCCAGGGACCCTGCCAGGCAGGCCTGAAAGCTGCACCACAAACCCCAGTCAAGCGCCCAGAGGCCTGTGGGTAGCTCGATCGCCAAGCCAGATCTCCTTGGGGTCCAAGAACACTTACTGTAAAATAAACCAGGGTCAGCCAGCTCTCCGCCCAACCCAGCCTGGACCACCTCGGAAACTTGTTTCCATTCCAAACCCACAGGCCTGGACAGGGGCTGTGAGGGCACCGGGGAACCTGCTCTGTCTGCTACTCACTCCTGCCTCCTCTCCTGGACCTCCACCCCTGTCCCGCTGCAGGCGCCCTTCCAAGGTCGAGACGCAACACCCCTCCTCACCTAAAAAAACAATGCAATAAAACGCAAAAAACCACCTGCTAATCTGCTCCTTGAACGGCGCGAGCTTGGTGTGCAAAACTCCGGGACCCAGAAGAGGCGAGTCTACACCCGGCCTGACCTCCCTCCTCTGCCCACCTTGGGCCCAGCTCCGGCGCAGCCCAGTGCGGGGGCTCTGGCTTTGCAGGCGTCCCCTAGGCCTGCCAGCTCCCACCCGCGTCGGGTGGCCCCACCGCAACCCCACTCCCAATCCACATCACGCCGCCGTCTGGGCTTTTGTGTATTGGAGAGAGGCCTGGCCCGCGTTGTCGGAGCTGACAACAGCGATGTTTCACATTACACATCTCCGCCAGGCCCAGACGCCTAATCCGTTTTTTTTCCTTTTTCTTTTCATTCTGGACGTACTTTTCACCCTCCTTCCTCTCTGGACCCGGCTACTATAAAAAGCGCGCCCGGCTCGCACTCCGCTGCACCGCAGCCCCAGGAAGGCAAGGCAGCGGCTGCACATGGCAGGAAAGCGCGGCTCTGCGGGCGGCCGGAGGAGGACCTGGAGGAGCTGCACAGAAGAGGGGAGGGGATGGGAGGGCTTTCCGAAGATTCCACGAAATCCAAATTGTGTTTTCATTTTAATTACTTGCCATTTCTACCCTAGGCCTTCTAGACTTTGCCCCGAGAGAAGCCTACGTGCAAGGCCCGTTCCCTGATGCTCCAGAAGGCTAATGAGAGACTGACCCTGCACAACCACGCGGCCCAGCCGGGCGCACGCTCCGGGCAGTTAAACTAAAACCACTTCGAGCTCCTCTGGCTCTTTATCAACCAGCTCCACTCACACCCCGCGCAAGTGCCACCCGGAGAGTCCATTTCCTCTGCTTTGGAGCTGATTTTGTTTTTTATTCTTTTCGTCTTTAGTGGTATCTAATGTTTTGGTTTTTATCTCTTTGCTCTAACTGGGAACTTCATCTTTTACACCCAGAAGAGGTTGTTTTGTTTGTTTGTTTGTTTTTTCTCTAAACAGCAAAGCCTCTGGATGCTTCTTGGTTCTGTTTTCTTTTGCTTCCAGAATCCTAACAATTTTGAAATTTTCCATCGACCAGCATAAATCAGGATGTCTCTATTGGGTAATTTAAACTCTTTTTTTTTTTTTTTTTTTTTTTTGCCAATCTATAAAGTTCAGATTTGCTACAAAGTTAAGGTAAGCGCTTCTTTTTTTTATAAACCTATGATTATAGTTAGGAGGGGTTATCAATCTTCAAAGAGTTCAACTCCTGAGAGAAGATAAATAAACCAAACTTAAAAGCCTTCTATTTTTTTTTCCTTCTTCTAAGAAAACGAGCAGAATAATTGCTGTGTATTAAAGCTTGACTTGCAGAGATCACAAATCAGGGGCAAGGGTGTAAGAGAGCTCTGAATGCCCGCCCCCTCAAAAGAAAAAACACCCGGAAAAGACCGTAGGGCACTCAGTGGAGAGAAAAGGCTGGGCCAGGCCGGCGCGCAGGCTCTCCAGGGAGGGCAAAACCTTGGTGTCTCTGGCGGGTTTTCCTTGTTAAAGGCCCACAGGTTGGAGCCTGCTCGCGGCTCCCGGCCGGCAGGAATGTTATTAGCGCTAGTCTGGTGACTGCAAGCGGGGAACACAATGCCCTTTGCAGAAGAATGCCCACGTGGCCCAGCCCAGGAGGG